GGGAGAGCAGTGTGGGAAACTGGAAGGAACTCCAAACTCACACAGTCCGCGGGGCTGTAAGGCACTCCTGTCCCCAAGCCACATCTGCCTGTGACAGACAGAGGGGGAAAAGAGTGACAGAACGAAAAATCAGATTATAAAAACTTCACGAAGGGAAAACGAACTCCGAGTAAAAAGGGGAAAAAGTGAAGGAAGCTGTGTGGAGAAACAGAAATTGTGCCCCACTCGACCAGGGGACTGACTGCCGAGCAGCAGAGTGAGTAAGGGCTGGAGGAACCGGCAGGGAAAGGAGCTGCAGGAGCAGAATCTTGCTCACCCACCAGTGAAGCCAAAAAAAGCTGTCCCACTGAAGGTGGCAGAGGTAGTTTTGGCCCACACTAAGACTTCTGAGTGACATATTTCGTTCACCTCTTTAATTCCCCAGATTTGTTTATGCTCGGGGAAACACAGACCCTTGGAAGCTCATGCAAAGTGTTGCAAACAGATACAGAACCTCCTCCAACCCTTAATTGCCCTGGCATTTTATCTGAATTACTGTTTGCTATGATTTAAATATGGGGTTTAAATACAGGACTGATTTCTTCTTGCCGGCTTGGAGACCCTCTGCTGGAGGTGAGGCATTGCCTCGGTCCAGCTTTGCTGATTGCCTGGCTCTGCATGTCCATTGGGGTGCTTTCCTCGAGCAAACTGGGAAGTAACAGTGCAGATCCCAGTTTTGCAATGGGATTTCTGCACCTCTCTGCTGCACAGTGCTAAGGAGAAAAGATGGCTCTTGTGGACCATGAGGATATAATGATACTTATATATGACCCATACAGAGCTATAAGAGCTTGGCCTTTAAGAAAATTAGATCAGTTTTATACCGGTAACACCCTGGGGGAAGCTTTTGTCTTCATTAATACTTCTAAACTCTTCTGTGTTGCTTAGATGAGAGAAAAAAATAGACCAGGTTCTGGTGTTGGTATTTGGCAGGTGAAAATTCAGGCTCAAATTTTGCTGATGAGGAATTTGTCAAATTCCACTATGAGTGTGAGAGTGTCAATTTGTATTGGCACCAATTTACCGGTCTGGAGTCTGGAGTTTCTGTTGACTTCAGTGAGCATCCAAGTTAGGCCCTTAGGACTGGACTTTATTGGACCAATTTTATTTTTCTTGGTCCATTATTTTTATTGGTCCATTTTCTTGGACCAATTTTATTTTTCACCCCAGGATGGTCTGAAGGGCTCGGCACTAATCGAGTCTCCCACATTTTGCCGTCTTTCCCCTCCTCTCTTCAGAATCATTGCTCTGTCCCCTCTCCCAAGCGTTTTAGCTTTCCAAATGACTTCCTAACATAAGGCTGTGGAAGTTTGCGTGCCTCGGAGTTTCCCACACCCTTCCTTAACCATATTCATCCCCGTCACAAAGGAAGTGTGCCTGACTACAAACCGCATTAGCGACGGTGCTTGCCTCGGCTTTGTGTGCAGTGGGAAACCCCGCTCCCCAAAGGCCATCTGGGCGGCTCGGGGCAGGGCAGAGGCAACGGGAGCAACAACCCGCCACTCTCACCACTTGGGAAAGCAGCAGCAGCATCTCAGAGTCCTCCCTAAAGAGCTAACATCTGGCAGAGATTCGGGGGGCAGCTTATCACAACGCCCTATTTCAAACTCGGGATCCCAATAAGGTTTCTATCCAATATCGTGCACGTTTGGAACTGTAGTAGAGGGTGTGTGATTCAGATTTCATTATCCTTAGTGTAAAGCCCGCTGACTCTGCTAACTTTAAAATAGAGAGGGATTTTTATTCTCCCTTTTCTTTAGGTTTCTAACCAAAGCAGAAGCAGAGCATCCGGGGAGACCTTATAGCGGCCTTTCAATACCTGAAGGGTGCCTATAGAAGAGCTGGGGAGGGACTCTTTGCCAGGAAGGGTAATGATAGGACAAGGGGAAACGGTTTTAAATTGGAAGAAAAAAGATTCAGATTAGATCTCAGGAAGAAATTTTTTACTCTGAGGGTGGTGAGACGCTGGAACAGGTTGCCCAGGGAAGTTGTGGCTGCCCCATCCCTGGAGGGGTTCAAGGCCAGGCTGGATGTGGCCTTGAGCAACCTGGTCTGGTGGGAGGTGTCCCTGCCCAGGGCAGGGGGGTTGGAACTAGATGATCTTTGAGGTCCCTTCCAACCCAAACCATTCTATGATTCTATGATCTCTTTTGGGTAACTGAGCATCTATTTTGAATAACTCCTCCAAGATGGTCAGTAATTGGCTATTTTTCCCCCTCACAGACTGTGAAACCAAAGAGAAAATAAAAAGCTATTTTATATATGTTTCTATTTTAGACGCTTTAAAATTCATTCAGAGTGAGGAAGTGGGAACCACAGTGGATTTACCATCTGGGACAGATTTTGCTACATTCACCTCACAATAATACATTGAATATTGTAATTTTTATTACCACACATGTTCTAAATATGTGGGCCCTCCGGCCTCTATAGCTTAGTGAATTCCTGCTGGCCACAGAAGATCCTTTAGCATTCAGCCTGCTCAGTAGCAGCTTCAGGTCAGTTTGGATCCTAACGGAGAGGGAATTTTGAGTGGTGACCCCTTGATTGTGCCAAGTTTCCAACCACTACCACAGGGCCACCATGCAAAGGGTTGGCACCACAGTCTGCTCTGGAATCCCTGCTAGGAAACCTCTTACTGCCTTTGTAGGATTTTTTGGGCATTTGGTTTTGGTTTTTTTGGGATCCCTGCTAGGAAACCTCTTACTGCCTTTGCAGGACTTTTTGGGTGTTTGTTTTTGTTTTTTTTTGTTTTTTGTTTTTTTTTGTAAGGGACCTGAGCTCACATTACTGTGAAACCAGCAGGAGCTAAACTGAGGGTAGAGGTGTCAGGGGGCCAGTCACCTCCACGCAGCGTGGGTCACCAAGGCTGATGGCTTGGGTCACAGTGGCAATGCCTGACCATGTAATTACTAAACAGCAGGAGGAAAACAGGTCCATCACATCCCAAGCTCACACGGTAAACAGACATGGAACAGGACTTCATGCTTGGGTGCCTGGAAAAAAATCAAGTAGGCATTTTTATCCTGTACAATTCATTCCTTCAAGAAGGTATATGGAAGTTACTTTCTTGGACCAAGAAAAGAGATAGAGGTTTTCATTCTCTCTTAACTTGAGCTAAATGTTGTAATAGTGAATTAAGCAAAATTTCTGCCAAGACCGAGGAGAGTAGGGTGGTTCAGGCTGGCATGACTGTTCCCCTGGAGTTAACTTCATAATCCCCTGGGTGCTGAGTGGAGAAATAAGAGGTTTGTGGTTTCTGAGGAGTTCATTTCTCGTTGTGTACTGGGGGTGATTTCAGGGAAGGCATCTGACACTTTAAGCAGGTTTGTTGTACTGAAGCTGGAGTCTCTGTTTATGTGACTGGTGCTGGAAGGGGAAATTATTGCTGCTCTTATACCTGCTTATTAGCAAGTTAATATGGAAAACAGAAACTGTCTGTAGCAAAACTGCTAGTGGATCCTGCACATTATGGGACTGGCGCATTTCTTCTTCATGCACTTGATTAACGAGCTCAAGAAATGAGTTTCTACTCAGGAGCTTCTGTTTCAGAGACTCTCCCCAAGAGGGACGCACGGAGCGCAAGATTGGTTTCAGAGGTGGCATTACATGGGCTCAAAGATAATCCACAAGCTTTGAAGGGAACATGTGAAATGGTGTCACAAAAGCTTTCCCACAACTTGACATAAAAGACTCAGAGCTCAACAGCTGCTGCTCTGTACGAAAAGAAGGAGCCTATTCAGGAGCAGTACAATGGGGATGGAAGGGCAGATCCTGGAAGAGGTCACTGAAGCCTTACCTGGCCTTACAAATAATGAGTTACAGCGAGAGAGAGAAATGTGTCCATGTGTACGTGTTTTCACATTAAAATACATGTGTGACCACACACACATGTATTAATGTAGACATGAACACGTATGAACACAAACAGTATTTCCTTACTACCCTTCCTTTTTCAGTAAAAGATGCCCAAACGTCAGCCTTAATATTACTTGACAGTAATTTATCTGATTATTATTATTATTCCTGGGTTGAACCTTATAGAGGGAGATACTGGTGCTCCCAGAGAAGCGTGTTGAACTGGTCAGGTCACACATGTGGTTCCAGATGTGTGGTTAATGCTGTCACCTGCCCACTTCACCCTTCCCGGGGCATCAGAGGGCACCAGCACCATCAGCCTGTCCCCGGCCAGGACACACGTCCAGAGGATGCAGAAGACACTTCTGCCATCTCCTTCAGCTGCTCCCATGAGGTGAGACCTCATAAAAACCAGCAGTACTTGCACGGGCAGAAGGCAGGATAAAGGCAGGCAGATCTGGTTCAAGTTTTCCAACCTGGATCTCTGGCTGTGTGTTTATAGGATAGGAATAGCAAGGCCATTAACCCTTCCAGCTGCAGGCGACCTCATAAAAACCAGCAGTACTTGCACAGGCAGAAGGCAGGATAAAGGCAGGCAGATCTGGTTCAAGTTTTCCAACCTGGATCTCTGGCAGTGTGTTTATAGGATAGGAATAGCAAAGCCATTAACCCTTCCAGCTGCAACCTCCTGAGCTTTGCATCTCAACACAGAAACTGCCCCAGTGGAGAACGAGGAATCAGGAATTCCATTTCTAGTAATTTTATAGGCTGTAGGAATCTCTTCTGTACTCAGTTTTCCTTTGTGCATCGATTAAATGAAAATAATTAGAGTAAAACATGTTTTTGAGGAGGAAGTGAGAAAGCTGCATGAGAGACCTAACTGATCCCAAAGCACTCCGAGATCCTTCGCCTCGCGGGTTTCTCCTGCAGTATTTGAAAACAGAAACATAAAGTGTGACGGAGAGTGTTCTGAAGAGGAGCATAAGGTACCAAGGAAGAGAATGAAGATCAAAACAGAGAAGGTTTTCAATAACTGTGTGTACATACAACTAAAAGCATTTCTTTGCAGTGGGCCCAACTGGGAAAGCTGTTTTCTGTTTCAGGTGGGCAAAACCGGTGTCACCGTCACTTGAGGGAGAACCACTGGCTCTGGCTCACTGGGCAAACAAGGTGAGTGGATTTAAAGAAATTCTGCTCTTTCTCTGGAGAAGCCAGGAGCTGCTGGTGTGTGTGTGTGTGTGTGTGTGCAGGCTGCAGCGTGTGCCTCCCCGTGTCCCCGGAGAGGAGCGCAGCCCCGCGCCGTGCCGTGTTTCGCGCCATCGGCAGCTGACCTCCTCCTTCCTCCCCACATGTGAACCCAGGGCCACGTCTGGAATGCTATTGATCTGCAGCATTAGTCAGCAGCCCTGTCCCATTGAAGGCCAGCTCTTTCCCAGCTTCTGACGGCGTAACTCTGATCCCAGCCTTTTCACAGCACCACACACTCCCCACCTGCTCATCTGGGAGAAGGTCATTATCCCCAGGCTATTCACCGGCAATGGAGCATGCAAGAATAGATGCTTCTCCTTTTGTGCTGCCCATCTCCCTGATTGGCTCTGGAGTGTGGGAAACTCCACCAAGCTGGAGACCCACAGACTCTCCGTGAGGTTGCAGAGTATAAATATCAGGCAGAGGCAGCTTCCAGCAACACGCTTCTCCTGGACTTCCACTCCGAGACCTTCCTTCCCTTCTCGGGACAGATGGCTCCCAGCACCGTGTTCATGGAGCCCGACAACCTGCTGACACCAAAGGAGAAAAACAAAGTAAGTCCAGGCACAGCAAGACGGCTTCGAGCCACGCTCTCAGCTGTTCTCAGCAGCTGAGAAACTGGTCCATGTGGTTCAGGAACAGTGAGGGGCAACAAACAGCCCCGTGCAACGGCAGAGAGAAAATCCTTCTAATAACAGGTCTCTTTTCCTTTGCTTTTTACAGCTGAGGAAGCCGGTGGTGGAGAAGATGCGCCGTGACCGGATTAACAGCAGCATCGAGCAGCTGAAACTGCTCCTGGAGAAGGAGTTTCAGAGACACCAGCCCAACTCCAAGCTGGAGAAAGCCGACATCCTGGAGATGACTGTCAGCTACCTGAAGCAGCAGAGCCAGCTGCAGTTGAAGAGTGAGTATTGGATTTTGTTTCACTCTCAAGCTTACTGCAAATCTGTGACAGTTTTATGACTCTCTAGCTATACACAGTTGCTCTAAACTATTCTTTCTTCCCCCTCCCTCTTCTCTTCCCCTCTGTAGCTGCAGGATCCTTCCATAAAAGCTCGCAGTTTGACTTCAGAGAGGGCTATTCCCGGTGCTTGCAAGAAGCTTTCCATTTCCTCTCTCTTCATAAAGTCCGAACTGAAACGCAGACCAAACTTTTAAGCCACTTCCAGAAGAGCCAGTCGGCTGCTACCGAGGTCGCCTTGTCCCCTGGGAACCCCAGCACCCTGAAGCAAGCGTCTCCAAAAGATGCCGGTACTCTCTGGAGGCCCTGGTAGTCGGGGGGGAGTCCCCACATCGTGGCCCTTTGCCAGTCCAGAGGAAGGGTCTGACTGCATCTGCTAGTCCAGCTCTGGTCCTCTCTGCTGTAGGGAATGTTATTTCCCCCTGTATTTTTATTTATGTGTGGAAAGAACGGCGTGCTTTTGGCTTTTACGGGATATTTGGCAGAAGTGCAGGCATTCTGCGGAGCGGTGCGGGGGCTGGGGGTGACAGCCCACAGCGCTGCCCCGGCGGGGGCCAGTGTCTTCACAGTGAAGGAGGGTTTTTTTGTAAATGTTACTGTTGTGACGGGCAGGAATTGCTGTAGGAGAGGTGTCTCTGCTGTTGCTTGTAAGAGCCACGGGCTTTGCTCTGGCTTGACCCGCGGCGCTTGTTCGCTCGGTCGCTCCCGAGGATAAACTCACTCCCCTTTGGTTCATGCACACTTGGTTAAAATCAGTTTCCCTCTGCTTAGAACTTGTACAGCATCAAAGATGGGGTTTGTGACCCTTTCATAGTCCTAGTACATAAAGTGCCCGAGGATAAACTCACTCCCCTTTGGTTCACTCACACTTGGTTAAAATCAGTTTCCCTCTGTACAGCATCAAAGATGGGGTTTGTTTTGGATTTTCAGTGCCCCTTTCATAGTCCTAGTACATAAAGCATGACAGCTGAACAGGAGCTAGGAAACTATGTGGAATATTTCTACTACTTGGCTGCTTTTTTCAGTTTAGAAAAAGAGTGCATTACTGCTTTATGTTAAAGAAAAGGTAGTAGGTAAAAGGCTTGAGTGGTCAATGTTATACATTTTGGGTGTAAGCTATGCTTTTTCTTGCATTTTCATTATAATAATGATTTTTGTCTGTATTAAGTGATGTAATTCCTGGTGGATAATGTTTCTCCCACAGCTGGGACAGCCCTATGGCTCACGTGCATACTGTGTATGCGTCTGGCAAGAGCAATAAAATGCATTTGTGTGCAACTTCTGTCTGGGTCCTCTCCTTCTGAGGGGGACACAGCCGCTTGTGCCCCCCAAAAAGATTAATCTCTTCATCTCCCGAAGAAGTGGGATTGTTGTGTAAGGTGAAAGGAGCTCGTATTCTTGTCCACACAAGTACCTTGTACCTTTAACCCCAAGAAATAGGCAAGTGCTGCCATCACACAGATTCTCTCAGCTGAATCATATCGAGCATTTCCTCAGTCGCTGCCCCTCCTACCCACACAAAACCTTCTCACCTGAGGAATAAAGCCCTCAGCCTGCCCACCCCCTCTCCCCATGAGCAGCATGTGGGATCCCAGTCCTCCTTCCATGTGAGTTTTTTGCCAGATGCTGAGAGGGAACAGGCTCTGAGGCCCCAGGGCTCTGTGTCCCCACGATTTCTCCTCTGGGAGCTCCCATCCCACAAACCTCAGGACAGGGCTGTTGCAGCCGTGGGGTCCTGCCAATGGGGACAGGTGAGTGCTGCCCTGCTGGGGACACAAACCAGGGCAAAGCCTCGTGTTGGTGTTGTCCCCCCCCAAATTAGGACCCCTTGAGCATCCCTCAGGGTCTGCGGGAGGGGTGCCTGAGCCAGCAGTACCTTCTGTCCCTGGGCTGTGGCCCCAGGCAGGGAAAATACCTACACTTCAGTGCAGGTTCCCTTCCTGTGACAATAAACTGGTCATGATATTAAACTAAGTTTGTGCAAGCACAAATTTAGGTGAAAAACATCTTTTGATAGCAGAAATGTCATAGTTCTACAATTTACATGCGAAGTTATGGAATGTTTCTGGCTAGAAATACACAATCCAATTCTGTTAGCCAGAAATCACACATTGCTTGCTTGTGCAGCTTCTCATTTGTCTGTTCTTACGACAAGGAATGATTTGTTCTGCCACCTTTGATCAGATTTGTCATATATGTGCTTTTTATTGCAAGAGGGACTTTGGGGTCTATGGTAGGAGAGACCATTAGGTGAGAGAGTCCCTGCACAGGTTTTCACTCCTGGCAGTGACTTGGGACAGTGGTGGGGATTTGGGATGTTACCGTGATGGAAATAGGAGCAGAAATGATGGCATGACCTTGTTATTGTTACCCAGCACGTGAATTGCCCTGCTGTACAGACAACTTGCTAAACAGACTTCTCTAACTATGCAAAACAATTGTCAAAGTATTTAGAAGACTAAAAAGTCCCTACAGCAAAACTTTCTTTAGTTATATGCAATTTTTTAATATTGCAGTGTGAATACAATTTCATGAAGTTAAAGCCCTTGCAGTTTATAAATGATATTTTAACTTTTTATTCTTTTTAGCCACCAGGGGTCACAGTTGCCGTGTTCCTCTTGGATGAATAAACGTCAGTTCAAGCGTGATTTTAGGGCTTTTCAAGTGTGTGTTTCATGTGATTTTGTTTGCTTCACCTTAATAACCAGATGTCAGTCAGCGCTGGAGACTTTATAAAATCTTTTCCACCTCCCAGTTTCTGTGTGTGACAGAAATTGTATGTGAACAGAAGAATAGAGTACCTTGATGAAGCATAAAAGTGATGTAAAGAGTTTATTTTTTTCCAGCAGTACTGGTGTAGAATTCTTTTAAAATTTAATTGTCCAAGCTGATGCACCAGCTGCTTTCTATTGCTGCTTGCACTGGTGTTTGAACTGTGTCTGTAAAGGACAATTTAAGCAATTCCTTGATGCTGTAAAACTTAGGACTCTGCAGGTTGGTGGCTTCCATTAACTCTTAAAGGTTTTGCCCACACAAAATGTTACTCAGCATTTCCACACGGGAGGCCTTTTAAAAAGACACCACTGGTGTATGACTGACACACACCGAGGTGTTCTCTTATTGATGCTTCCTAAAGCCAGAGCTTTAGAAATAATCAAAGTTAGAAGGAACAAGGAGTTTTCTCTGTCCGATGCCTTCAATATCACTTAAACTGGAGTCATTTCACTACCTGTACCAGGGAATACTACTTTTAATTCTGGCCATGTTTTCCAGGTGGCTTATACAGGTCTGTCGTGACACTGGGGGGGGAATAAAAAGCACTGGAGAAAAAAAACCTCACCAAAATAAATAGGGAATGAAGCTTAAAAATCGTGCAGGATGGCTGGGCCAGACTACCATGCTGCTGGAAACACGTTTATAATCTTTGGTTTGTTGGGTGTTTTTTTTTCAGGGGTAGCATTTGACATTGTGTTAATGGGAGCTGAGCATTATCCACAGCACCTTTGGAGTTGGTGGATCCTGTTTCACTGCTCCTGGGGCTGGAGAGGCAACGATGTGTGGGAAGAGGTAAGTGGTGATTAGAGTTCTGGGGCCGACCCCACAAAGAACGTTTCAGCTTCTGTTTCCCATTTACTTGAGAAGCCAAGTTTGTGCTGGTAACCACTGGAAAAGCCCTTTAAAAGAAAACTGGCAGGGAGCTGGGCCTGGGCAGGAACTCTTGGTTTGTGGGACTCCAGTTGCAGTTGGGGGAAGATGCTGTAGATGAACTGGGAGCTCTGCACAGGCAGGTAAAGAGACCAGCGTCAGACCAGCATCAGCACCCTACCAACTGGAAAAAAAAAAAGTAATTTTTGGGTGCCTGCCATAGCAGCAGTGTGTTTAATGTCTGCAGCAAGCGTGTGTTTGATGGAGGCTGGAAATACCTGCTGATGTTGAGAAGTGTCTTTTGGTCTGTTGTAGAAGCTGGAGCCGGGTTTGTCACCAGGTGGCAGCAGGGGAGAAGGAAAGGTGTCATTTCCCCTCTTCTGGAAAACACGGAATCTGCATCTTCCTTGTTTTCCTAGGTATGTAATAAAGCTGCTCTGATGCTTAATTACCTGTGGGTTGAAAATGGAGTCAGATCTGCAGCAAAACACCTTTGGGTACAGTATTTTCCACTGGGCTAAAGTGTTTTCTGCAGGAACTTCTAATTTCTGTCCAGTTCCGTGTGTTTGTTCGCTGCCTTGGTTGTTGCTGGAGGAGCTCTCCTGTGGTTGGGGGTGAGGGGTGTCAGAGAGGGCTGGAAGGGAGGCTGTTCCCCAGAGCCTCTGGGACATACAAGCACTTGTTATACATAATTTAGCCTGGAAGCAGCTGCAAATGGAAAAAACAGTGATGTGTGTGTGTGTCAGTCCCACCACGGGACAGACTGTGTGGGTCTGGGCAGGGGGTGGTGGGTGGAATTCCTTTATAAAATATTACAGACCTTGTCTGGGAGACAAACAGTTTCATTCTCACCTAACACTAAACACGTTATGTATTTGTGCAGGTGGAGGAAAAGATGGTCTTTTACCACCTCGTGTGACGGAAGAGTCATCGCAGCTCTACAACTGCTGAGGGTGGTGTGAAACCTCAGGTGGGAGCAGGTTTTGTAGCTGAAATGGCTGTCCTGATTTGAACTGGGGAAACCACTTGGAGCTTAAACTTCACCTGATCGTGGGATAAATGATAATCAGTGTCCTGGGAGCACAGGAAAGGGTCCCTCTGCTGCTGAAAGGGTCCCAAAACGGGCTCTCAAACACAGAGTGCTGGTAGAGCTGGGCTCTGCCACTGCCATCGCTCTTCACAAAGTGACCACGTAGCTGCTGCCACCAGCGAGGTGCAGCATAATGGTCAGATGCCAGAGTGGCCAGTGGGGTGACTGGTTGTGCCAAGAGATACTAACAAGCTGTGCTGGGAAATTTTATTTGGCAGACTGAAGGTTTTTTGAAGCTCAACCTGGTCAGGACCTGGAGTGACACCTGGGAAGGTGTTTCCACCTCTGCTCAGAACTTCATGCTGGCAGTTGTGTTGAACTCAGAGGGAAGGGAAGGTGGCACCAGTGTCACATGGAAACCTCATGCCATGTGGTGAACTCAGTGCACAGGAACAGACCCTGCTTTACAAGCCAGGACCTTCATTTGAAAGTCCTCTGCACTTCTCCCTGTAGATGTTCAGGGACTGGGAGGTTCAGGTCAGTGAAACTCAGCTGCTGCCCCGTCCTCAACTTGAATTGTTTCTCACTGGTGGTGGCACATCCTCGGCTGTGACCCTCCTGTGTGTGATTATGGAAAAGTCACACCGTGGTCCACAGGGAGTGCTGTTTCCTGGGTGTTTTGAGCTCATTTTTTATCTCTGTTGTGTTTCATGGAGGTGGTTGGTCACCGGTGCGAGGTAGGGGCTGTCACGGGGGGTGTGAATGCAGAGGGGCAAAACAGGAGGCCACGGGTGGGACTGGAAAGGGGGGTTGTTGCTGTTGCCCTGGGGTTGTGCTGGCGCAGACACAGAGCGACAGATGGGAAGAGTCTTCTGCAGGTGGGAGGCGTAATAAACTCACATGAAAAAATAAAGTGACTTCCATGTGCTGTAATAAGAACTTGGAATCAAACCTCCCAGGCACATTTTAATTATCCCTTTAGCAGTTGCATATGCCAGAACTTCTAATGGCACATCTCCAGAGCTTAATGATTTTGCAGAGTAATTAAATTGTCAGCCACGTGAACCTCCTCCACCTGACCTCTGTGCGCTGGGTGCTGGGTCCCTTGCCTGGCAGATATATATATTCTGTTGCCACTTGCCTGAGTTCC